CAATGTACATGCCAGGGGCTGCTAATGTGAAATGAGAGACAGGGGGATTCAGCTTTTAATTTCTTACGGCTTGCGCTTCGTATCTGCTTCCCCCCTTTAACCACCTCGAATTAATTCATGGTATATACTAGTTCATTGTATTCATGGCCCTGCGGCTCAACGCTCGCTAAACCTTTCTAAAACTAAGGAGGTTACACCCAGCGAGTATAACGTAGCAACCCTTTCTTGTCGGATAGTGCTCAATGTACATGCCAATAGCTGCTAATGGGGATCGCAGCGTGCGCGTTGACTAAAAGCCGAATGCTCCTGTCTCTCATTCTCCATTAGCAGCCATTGGCATGTACATTGAGCACTATTTTTTATTGTTAAACAACGCACAGAAGAAATCTCTGACCGGCACCACCTTGGAGGTCAAATGTTATACCTATTTCGGGTATGTGCCACTGGTGGTCACGTACTACGAGAAACGCAGAAGCCACGGCTTAAGGAGTGACTCTATTCGCATTCTAGGGCTTGATTATACTTGCTACGGCATATCAGCCTCCTTGTGGAATTCAGTAGTCGAAGATGTAAAACGACACGTCCGGGAAGCACAAGAGTATGATTTACCGATGCTCGAAAGAAGGTATCTAGCACAGACGGTGTTTTGCGGCCGTGCATGGTATATATCTCATGTCTTACAGCCCCCATTACAAATCACCAGGTCGTTGCAATCCCTCATTGGCTCCTTTTTCTGGTCGGGTGGAACAGAGCTGGTTTGCCGAGCAGCTCTTGGGCAACCGAGAAACTGCGGTGGATTCGCATTCCCATCCGTTTCTGTTCGCTGCCGGCTACTTGCCCTACGATTCTTACTTCGGTTGTTGCATGGTGATCAGTGCCCCGCGCGTGATCTCGCCTGCTACTTCTTAGGCACCAAGTTACGCTATTTACTACCAGGTGCACGGCTTAATTCTGCACCACAAACACTTCACGTACCTGCATTTTACTCAACGGCAGTATCTTTTTATCGACACGCGCAGCAGGTTTGTCCCGATGTGGACATTCTTGAAAGCCGCATTGTAGATACAACGGCGGCTCTTCTGCTTCCTCTGGTTCCTCCAGCCCGTCTAGCACGATCGAGACAAGTCTCGTGGAGCGCGATAACGGCATTGTTTTTGCCTGGTCACCTCCGTGACTTTATGTGGCGTCTTGGATGGAGAGTACTCCCAACACGGGACAGACGGGAGAGGTGGGGCATGGTCCCATCTTCCACTTGTCCTAACTGCCCGTTACAGGAGTCTAACCAGCATATGCTGCAGCAATGTGTCATTGCAAAGGTGTTTTGGAAGTCAGTTAACACTAGTTTTCGCGGCCTAGGTGTTAATCGCTTTGTAACATCTGGTCGCTGCCCGCGTAGTCGCTTTGCACGCCTTCTCATAGCTGCGGGAGCTTTTGTTTATGGCGTAATAGGTGCGAAGCTGTTGCGGCAGATCATCGTCGTCGTGCTCTTTTTCCAATACTGGAACGCCTCTACTCTGAACTCATATCGTTTCTGTCGGAGGAATTGTTCTTCCTTGGGGAGGAAGAATTTCTGCGACAATGGTCGTGCCGCTTTCTGTCCGTAGTTGACAGACGCGTTCAATTAGTTTTCCACCTGGCCTGGTTCCTATAGCCAGGTCACCTGTCAATGTCTGATGGGTGCATGTAATCACTATGTGCTTACTATTTTTATGTGTTTGTGTGTGTTCAATATGGGTGTTAGCTCTCCTATATATGCATTTCATTCGAACGCTGTAAGTTATGTAACCTTTATGAATATTAATACCTGTTGTACATATTTTCTAACATCTTCACCAAGTCTTGTAAATTCTGTACATATATCATCATGTACATTGTCCATATTGTGATTAGTGCATTTACGTAGTATATGTACAGTTATTAGTACAACGGACTATGGACATGCTACGGACTTGGACACTTTAGTTTAAATGTGTAGTGTATGTTGTGCTTTGTCTTTTGTTTGTTATTGTACCTGTTATACAGACGCTTGTCTCTTAGGTTTGTTTCGTCCTATGAAAGAATAAACTTTTTCTAAACAGGAGCTTCACCCCTAAAAACTCCTCACCAGATATAGTTCCAACACCATTGGTCATTGCGGACAGTGGAAGAAGTGGAGATCAAAGCGTAACGAAAAGTTTCAAACATTCTCCAGGCTCGGTATCAGGTGGTTCCCAGGTTCACTTTAGGGAGTTTCAGTAAAAGCTATTCGAGCGCGTTTAAGCGCCCAACGCGACACGTTTTATGGGACCACATGTTATGATGGTTAAGTTAGCTACAGTGACTCCAAACGTCACGGCTCGATGAAGGAGCTTACGAGAGGGCTGTCCCTGAATCCTCTGAAAACAATGACTAAACAAACTCCTCCTGAACAGGAAACGGGTTGGCTTTAATTACAGTGATCTGTGGTTTGCTCTTAAGCAAAAGGGTCCCCTGCGTAGTCCAATCAAGTTATTTTCAAAATTGTACCCTCTTGCAGCTTTTCTGTATCGCACAAGCGTCGACCACAGGATGCGGTGCTTCAAGTCCTTCACTCGCAGATCATTTTCAATAATGCAAATGGTTTCTACATATTTGGGTGAGCGTGATCACGGCAGTCCTAAATATAGAAAAATCTTTCCTCACACGTTTTCAAGAAGATTTTTTAGAAGAGAAGTTTAAATTATTTCGTTGAACGCTCTGGGTGAATTATTATTTATTATTATTTTGAATTTTTTAGGTTTATCATTTTAAAAGTTATTAGGATGAAATAGCGAAATGCGGGACTACTTCCGTGATTTATTCGTTCCCAATTAACCTTGCTTGATGGTGTGCGGTATGAAGCCATCCGGGCAATACTACAGAATTTGCAATTCAAGAAGCGTGGGTTTATCACACTGTCCACTTAGGATCAGGGGGAAGGGAGGGTGGAGTCTAAATTGTCAAAATATCGCATCTGAAATTGCCACAATATTGCGATGCGCAAGTTTGGCGGTGATATCTGTGTTAATGCGCCTTTGGTACATTCGACCGCCGATTATAAGTTTCTTTTTTACGTGATAATTTGTATGGTTAACAAGGCCAGAATCGGCGATTCGACGTAGATGGTTGCTCTCCTACCGTGTACATTGCGCAAGCTTGCGCTCTTTTCTTTTTCTTTTTCTTTGCTCTGTATAGGCGATTTCCCTCAAGGCATCTGTGCGCCGCCATCTCGGGCTGTTAACTCGAGGTTTTTTTGTTTTTATATATCGCGACGTACGTTTGGAAGGCTATGAAACATCGTACGCACCAACCCAACTGCTCTCATACGTACGCGTTGTCAGTAACACCGTTTGTTTAGTAGTTAAAGATACAAAATATAAAGGTTAACAGCCCAGTGTGATGGCACTCAAACTTATTCGCAAAATAGTCTATATATGTGTCGGGTTACCATCAAATGAACAGTTCTTAGTTCTCGCACGTGTTGTATTCTACCTGCGTTTTTCGTGCATTTTTTTTTCGTGTTAAAACGGCGCGTCGTAAGTACGAGCCACAATGTTCTCGTGAAGCTATATTGTGCTTGGCTAGCCTCTTGACATCCTGTTCTTTTTTGTGTTTGTCTTTTTGTTTAGTTATTCTTAAGTTTCCATTTCCCCGATTTTCCGCTGTTGTAACTATTGTTAAGCCTTGAAGAAGACGAGTTTCACGTTGGCAATATAAACAGTTGTTATTAAAACGCGTGTCTACCTGTATATCTATATATAAAAATGTAAGCGCGCGCGCGCACGTGTGCGTGTGTGTGTGCGTGTGTGTGTGTGTGTGTGTGTGCACGCTCAAATCTCGCCGCTTTGACAACGGCTGCAGTGGTCGTATTTTGGTTGAGCAGCAGTTCTAAAAACCCCGTGTACTTTCAAATGATTGATAGATATTTTGGGTGTAACGTCCCGAAACCACCATATGATCATGAGAAACGCCATAGTGGAAGACTCCGGAAATTTCGTCAACCTGGGGTTCTTTAACGTGCACCTAAATCTGAGCACACGGGCCTACAACATTTTCGCCTCCATCGAAAATGCAGCCGCCGCAGCTGAGATTAGATCTCGCAAACGGCGAGTCAGCAGCAGGGTACCTGAGCCACTACGCCACCGCGGCGGGGCTGTACTTTCAAACGTCAGTGCAATTAAAGAGCAACGCAGAATAGAAATCTCTGTAGCAGTGCACTGCGGCGTGATTTATAATCGTGTGGTGGTTAATGCACGCAAAATCACAGTCAAATCAAATTTTATCTGAAAGGACGACCGGGGAATATTGAGGATAATTTTTAAAAAAAAGTCAGCAAGGCTTGGCGTGGTTCATGAATGGCAACATTTCTGAGACAGAAGCAAACAAACAAGGAACACACTTTAACGCAGCAAAATTGAAACAATGGGACGTTCGCATACAGAACTGTGAAGCCACAATATGCATATTAAAAAATAGAACTCACCATTGATACAGTATGAAACACTCAAGGCCCGTCAGAAGAACAAAACAAACAAACAAACAAACAAACAAACAAACAAACAAACAAACAAACAACAAACAAACAAACAAACAAACAAACAAACAAACAAAGAAGTTGCACTATATGTGCAAGCTTCATGGGCGTAATATATAAAAATGTCATGCAGCACGATATACACGCCTTGGTAGGCATTATATTCTGTTTATTATGCCAGAAATTGTTTAAATAAGCTGGATACTTTTTGCCTTATCACTCTCGACAAGCAAGTCATCAAGACCACAGCAAAAGATACAATAGACTGCTGCACCTGACATCCTTGTGTCACTTCTAGATAAACGTTTGTCACAATAGTGGCGCATGTTATTATAAGCGACTAAGCCGGTATTTTTTTCCGTTGAGTGCGTTATCTCGTACTGTTTTGTGAGGTTCACCGGCTGGTCGCGTGCTGCCCGTATCTCCGTTGGTGGCGTAACACGTGTTATAAGAGTGGCCCGTAAAGATAGACCACCGTCCAGTGTGCGTACGACCACTTTGCGAGGACGCGGTGACAAGGAACCTCAGTAAGTGGTTGCATTGACATTGATATGTGGGGTTTAACGTCCCAAAACCACCATACGACTATGAGAGACGCTGTAGTGGAGGGCTCTGGAAAGTTCGACCACGTAAGATTCTTTAACGTGCGCCCAAATCTGAGCACACAGGCCAACGCCATTTCCTCCTCCATCGGAAATGCAGCCGCCGCAGCCGGGATTGGAGCCCGCGACCTGCGGGTCAGCAGCCGAGTGCCACTAGACCACCGCGGCTGGGCATAAGTGGTTACATGTGTATTATTATTTCATTTAAAGTTCACGAAATTTTTAAGTGCAATACAACCACAAATGTAAACTATTCCCATGTTCATCGCTGTCAGTGGAAGTTCCGTACTACGCCGAAGAATGCCCATTTTGAGATATGAAAATTCTTTATCTCGGGCATTTTCCCCCGCAAACGCTGACGAAATTCTCAAAATATTTCTCTGCATAGTAGCTGTAATGTGCGTGCGTCCCTTCACACGGACATACTTATAAATGCATGTGTGTGACGTGTGTGTAACTATTGAAATCAACACTACAGCACCTGTGCACAACGAAATCATGATTTTCTTAACTCATGTGCTCTAAGTATACTACATCGCAAATAGTGGGCTTGGAGGGAACACTACGAGTGAACTAAAAAAACGCTTCATATATATCAAACTAGTCTCATGGTATATGCTTTGGTACTGCATGCGCCAGAACAGATCGCAGAAGACCAAGGCACACTCTCACCGCAATAAATCGGTCCTCATTGGTGAATTTCACCATCTCTGAAATTCCCTGTAAAATCATAGAGAAGGTAATATCGCAAAAATTTCATTTTTCTTCCTTTCGTCCGAAATGATGGCTGAAAATTTCCCGAAGAAAGGAAAAATCCCCTCTGTGTTCGGAAAAATTAATTGTTAGAGTCACACGGTAGACGTCAATATTATTCAACAGAACATTTCAACAAAACAGAACACGTAACACAGTGTCTTCATGTACGACTTCTGTGATTTGAAAAAAAGTTGTTAACGATTTAGAGTACTGGGACCCTACTATAGGAGAGCAAGAAAGCCGTCCCGTGTGCCTCACATATCATGACACATCAGGTTTGGTCCACCAACTGCGTTATAAAAAAAAAATGTTTAACGATTTCGAGTACTTAGTACTCAACTATGGGAAAGCACTGAGCCGTCCCGCGAAAACTAACTAGGGCATGTTTGTGTTCAGAAAGAAGAGTTCTAGGTACTCTACTATGGGAGAGCATAAGGCCGTTCCGTCGGCCTGGGGGAAGGGGGGGGGGGGTAGAGAGTGGCTAACAATTCAGAGTACTAAGTACTCTACTATGGGAGGGCGTGAAGCTGTCCCGTGGGCCTCACACGAGGTTTCGACCCCGAATGTGAACGGCGCGTTAGTGAATAAACATCCTGAACGCATAGCACGTGTGAAGTTGGCGACTTACATTTACAGGCTCATGTTCGTGTCACAAGTTTTGGTCGAAAAAAAAAACTTTCTGACAATTTGCAGCGAAAATTCCGGAAACATTGCTCCGCTTATCGTAATATTTCTGAGAAGAGACGACGAACTTTTATTTGATAATGCACGAAGTTTTACATTATCAACAAAAAAAAGTACTAATTTGTTAGAACAAGAACCAACTGTATCACGGCCGTCTTGCTCAGATGACTGGCAAGCGCGTCACAGTCGTGAGGGTTTGAGCTCCTATTTATTATTAAATTGTAAACAACACTCGTGTGTTAACAGAATTTTTGGCAGAGATTACTGTTTATGTTATAAGTAAAGAATTGCTTCATGACGAGCGGGGCGTTATTGGAGCGTTGCTTGGAACTCGGAGGAATACGCCAACAGATGATATTGTCATTGTCGCTCCTTATACTTTTCATTTTGGTGATTCTGTGCACTAATGCCTGCGCCCGAGTGTGAGTGCTGAACACCATGGTGCTGACATTAGGTAACACCATAAATTTCCCTCTAAACGCCTGTGTAGTCGGCGTTCTTAGTCAAGCCCACGATGTGCACACAACTACCACACTTAAAACACACATATAACGCTTGGCTAAAACCCAATAATATGCAGCATCAACTACGCTTTACCGATTGCCCTGCGTGGCTACTTGCGTAAAAGTACATTGGATTCAAGGCCATGCTGCGAACCCACACAACATTGCCGCTGACCAGCAGGCGCACTGCCCTCCAGACATAGACCTTCCAGCCATTTCCCTTCTACTTCAGCCCCTAAACTTACTCCATACCCGTAAAAATGTTCTCCGAAAGGACACACGTGCTCTTATTCCACCGTGTGTCTGCTCTTTCCCCCCTCACCTTACTAGGGCGGAAGTAGTTGTGCTTAGGAGGCTTCGGGCAGGGGTGGCCCTTACAACGGATGTTATATCGTCATGGAACTTGTCACATTTACCAGTTGGTGATACACGTCTGCATTGTCCCACTCCAGCGATGCAAGCAGATACATAACACCTTTTATGGACTCGTAAATGGTGGCAGCCAGAACACTCCTGTCACCTCGCTCAAGCGACACAGCCAGCTACAACCGCTGGATACATGAAAACAGATTCTACAAGACACTACTTTACTTCATACACAACACCGACATAACAGCACACATTTAACAAAAATATTATGCCTTAAAGGCAAGTCTTAGTCGCAATAATAAAAAAAAAGAAACCGATTCCCGCAAGGCGGGCGATCTACCAATTTTTTTTAATATAAGGGGGCGCTGGAGTCGATACTTCAATAAGCAGATGCCCTTTTCCAGGCAGCAAGCTAACGTCATGCATGCTAGACATTCAACCCATTGTCACTGTCAAAACAGTCGCTGTTTTTGCAAACACAAGCCTGCTTATGGAAACGTCCGCTCCAGTACACCCCCCCCCCTCCCCCGCCTTTTTTTCTTTTTTTTTCACAGGGTTTTTCATTGCTTCAAACTCCCACGTTCCCCTAAACTTTCAGCTTTTGCGGGCTGGCGAATTGGAACCAAAATAATTCCCTCAATAGATTATAACTTCGAATGACTTCAGCTTTACACAACTACGATTAAAATATGGCATTTTCGCTTTTGCTATGGCATTACCAAAAGTGGTGGTCATGCGAGGAAAAAAAAGATAACAAAAAGAGTTTGTCGGAGTATAAGGCATTTGAAATTGAACGAAGATATGTTCAGATCTCAAAGCGTACGTGCCCTAAATGAAGCGCACATGAGTTGTGCATGAATAATCAACTTTTGTTGAAACAAGAAGAAACAAAAAAGAATTTACCTATCTCTAAAGAGTAATGGTAGTGTAATATAATTAAGTTTGGGTAGTTCAAACTTGTAATGCAACTTAATACACTGAAAATTTGATGAACGTAATTAGTAATTAACTCTAACCCATTTTTAAGAGTGACCTCGGCATTTGGTTGGTCGCACTAGTGCTCGAACGAGACCAGAACAATCTAGTGGTCAAATAAGACTATCATTGCCACACGTACGCTACGGCGAACCTTACAATATAATCGACACTTCAGGACGTAAATGTGGACGTAAATCTTAATCGTGAGGCCCCGTTGATTTTTGATTGTGTGCTATCTTGATTGCATCCAATCGCCCCATTTATTAAGTTATTTTTGAGTATTTAAAGGGCGCAACTCAGCAAACTCAGAATAGCAGAGAGGTTAGCATGGAAGGCATTCATTCCTAAATACATGAATACGTATTGGACAGACCGACAGCAACATTAAGCAGACTTTAATGGGACAGTAAGAGATCGTTAACCAGAGACTCACATTCTAATTTATCTCATTGTCGATAGTGTAAGTGCACGCAAACGTTCTATCAATGCGTATTGGCATAGGAACGAAGAAGTGTGCTTCACGACTGAGGCATGACACATCGGTAATAACGGTGGCACATGCGTCAGCAAGTCATTGGTTAACTTGCATAAGCATGAAATCAAATGCATTAACCTTTCAGGCAGACCACCACGCGTGCCAGACTTAGAGGTTCGCATGGCCATGTGCTGAGAAGTTTTCGATCCTTCTATCTCTTGCGCCGTTGTGAGCTGCTTCAGGTGTTTGTTGGCGTCTTGTGGGGTCGTGACTACTTTCTTGTGTCGGTGTTTGCACGTCCTGATAGAATTAACAGGCTTGCAACCACGACCACACAGTGACACACTGCGTGACTGACGTACGCTGTGCGCAGCTGCGAGTGCTTCAGCAGGCGCTCTTGATTTTGCGAGATGTGCCCCAGCCTACTAGTACAAGTTCGTGAGCAGGACTTTGATTCGGGTTAGTTGGTACATTGTTAGCTGGGAAAATACAACGCAAAAAAGGTCGATGACACAAACACAGTAGTCATACTAGCTTTTCCAGCTAGTAGAAGTGCCAGTTCTTCTTGAGTTTATAGCTTTCTCGTGTGTCTCAACCTGCACTATATAGAACATAAGGTGATTCCCAGTAACTTGCACAGGCGTCGTGGTAGAAACGAGGAGGACGACTCCGTTCTCTTGAAGCAATTCTTTGAGCCCTAACGCTGAGCTAGAAGAACATTACCTCATTTTGCAAGCGCGATAGAAACCTAAGAATTACCGCCGACTGTATAACAGCACAATTGTTTGCTATCAGATAAATTATGCTGTTAACTTTGCAGGTTCACTTGCTGATATTCGCAAGCAGCGCCAATGATGCTGAGACTGTTCGGGACTCTACTGTTCATGTCGGCTGTTTGCGGCTTCGTCTGTCCACCCAACTACTGCGACACCGTCAAGTGTCCCAAGTTCACACCAGAAGAATGTTCCGGGCGCTTAAGTACCGAAGCCACCTTCTGCGAATGCTGCGCGGGCTGCATTCGCTGGATAGGTATGCCATACTCTTTGCGTACAGCAAGATGTGACATCGTGCCGTGTTCCGCGTACTTTTCACATTACGTGTTGCTGCTTTAACACAGCGTATTGTACTCTTGGACACTGCTGCGCATATTGCTCGTGAAGACATCTTCGGGGCTCCAGAACTGTCGTTTGTACTGGCTAGTATACACCTTTTTAGCTGAAGGCTCTCTGGGCACTGCCATAAAACCCTCTGGGCTCTTGCTAACATGCGTACCCGCCCCCCCTCCCGTAATTGCGGGGCTGAAACTGTGACGTAAACTTTTGTGCTCCCGTGCAACAGCCCAGAGAGGGGGGGATCCTTCTCTCCGTAAGATTGGTTTAAATATGTTATCCAAACAATAAAGGGATACTAAATAGAAACGATGACTCTCTTTAGATTAAAAAACGGCACTCTGAAAACTATGATAACAGGTTTCACTGTCATAAGTCAATTATTAGTGGAGAAAATCCAGGGGGAAGTTTCATTTTTTTAATTTCACGTCGAAATCTCCACGTGTGACGTACAAAATTTAAAAATGTATTTTTTCGTACTTTGCGACGTTGGCTCGACGAAATTTTCTGAAACTTCGTATGCTAGATTTATGGCCCCCATAAGTGACCATGTGCTCTAGTTTTATTGATTGACAGCTACGTAGGACCCAGTAGACGCCTTCGAAAATGATGACGTCACGGTGTTTGGTGCGAGAATCTTACAGCGGCGCCTCCAGCCGCACTTATTTTAGCGCGTTTTCTCACTTTCCAAGCGCCGTGTCGCTGTAAGATTGGGGTTTTCAGAACTGTGAAATTGTACTTAGCAAATACGCGATAAGCCTTTTTGATCTTTAGTGTCCCTTTAAGGTAAAAATACTCTGGATGTCTTGTCAAACGCGAGGACTTAGTGGTGTCTCTCGGCGCTGGCTTCAAATTGAGTGAGGTCAAAATTCACGACGTGACTGCTTCAGCATGTGACGTCTTCGTGACGTCACAGGTCATCAACAGTGGTAACGACATCTTGATACCTCATAAAGCGGCGCCACGTGATGACATCTTTCCTTGACTGGTCATACCTTGCATTGGGTCAAAGACGGGCCGACCTCGAAGGCGGTAGAAAACCAGAACAGCTGCTAAAAGCGTGCGAAGCCTCGAATCTTGGAGGCAATGTAAAACCTCGTGAGGTGCGGGAAGCTTACCGAGGGCAGTGGGGTTGATCAGTACAGCGGGTGAGAAGCAGATGACTTTGGCCTCCAAGTTGTCTTAGACGGATGCATAAAGGGTCATTGCGAGTTTTTCAGCGATTGCTAATGCTCATAAGCATAGGTCGGCAAAAAATTCGAAGCTCACTTGGACTCACTCAAGAAATATAATTTTTTTCACGCCTAGTGCTCACTCTAACTCTCGCCAAAATGTTTGTGAATTGGTCTCACTAGGACTCACACTCACGTTTTTTTTTATTTCAACCGGATCCACTAGCACTCAAGCTGATAAAATATTACTCACGCGGACTCACTCAGACACAGAATCACAGCTCTATCTGAGCCTGTGTAAGTCCGAGTAAGTCGACTCATGCGTTCGTTGGCCTATAACTAGTTTTTTTCTCAGCCATGGTATCAATGCTTTTTAACATCAATATTTCACGTAGTCAGTGCTCCTCTTCGTACCTTTTGATATTGTACTTTCGAATGCAAGACACTAGTGCTTGGAGATGGGTAAGGACATTTCTCTTGAAAGAGACGACAGCAAATATATTTGTCAAGCATTGCTCTGGAAGAGTTGACGGTGTATGTTAAAGCACCCCCGTAATTGATGCTTCTAATGAATAAATATTCGAATGGTGTATGAGTGATATTGCTTTAGAATAAGTGTGAGTAGATGCGAGTATAAACTTGAATGCAGGTAAAGCTGATAGCAATGCTGTATAGGAGTACAATGGAGCTATTAGTATTGACCAATAAGCGCTCGAGTTGGCTGATAGTAAATGCCGGTTATGTGGTGCTTAGAACAACATACTCCCTTCATTGATGGACCCGGTAGCGAGCGTGCAATCTACAAATATTTGCTTGTTTTCCACAAGCCTTCTTTCAATTACAGAAGTGGAGCAACCATGTCCGTTTCCCGCAAGCGGCGTTCCGTTACAATCTGAATGCAAGCCAGGACTCGTGTGCGACCCGAAAAGCCACCTCTGCGAGCGGCAGTCTTTGTGACGTATCAAAAATAAACTTGTCCAAACGTATCCGGAGCCACTGAAAGATTTCGCCAGCATTCACGTAATACAAAACGAATAAAAAAAGCAACCCATACTCGAAATACACACTTGTGGTATGTTCTTTATCTTCACTTGCCTATTAACTTTTCAGTGTAGTGCTGCCTTTACTATCTTCAGCAAACTTTAACAAACTTCACCGGCATAGAATGCGTAGTGGCATCAATGATTTCAGTTACTTCATTTATTTATCTTGAAAATGATTCCCACTGTTTCATTGGTTCTTCCTAACAACTAGAACATTTCTAGTGAAGAAAATAAACATTTATTGCCTTCGCCAAATAAACCATATTACTCATTATGAAAGAGGCTATAGTACCCTCATTGTGTCAAACTTTCGTATTCTCAAACTAGCTTGGAATTGAAGAACTTCAGCTAAAGTACTTGAGACGTAATATTTTGGGGAATCTGTGACATCATGGTAATAATCCCAAACAAACACGCGCACACTTTCGGAGATCACTATGAGAGTAACAGTTAAAATGTTATATAGAAACGTACGATTCCGCGGCATGCCCCGCCGCGGTGGTCTAGTGGCTAAGGTACTCGGCTGCTGACCCGCAGGTCGCGGGTTCAAATCCCGGCTGCGGCGGCTGCATTTCCGATGGAGGCGGAAATGTTGTAGGCCCGTGGGCTCAGATTTGGGTGCACGTTAAAGAATCCCAGGTGGTCGAAATTTCCGGAGCCCTCCACTACGGCGTCTCTCATAATCATATGGTGGTTTTGGGACGTTAAACCCCACAAATCAATCAATCAATCAATCAACAATTCCGCGGCACTTCCTGCTCAAAACCGGATGCAGGCCGACGGGTGCGCCCTCCAGAGTGACGTCATGAGCCAGACGGCCAGCGGAGAACTTGCCGAGTGCACGAGCGGCACTTCATTCGGTATTGTTGCGCCTTTGTGTAGCGTGGTGCGGACTCGGGCCATCCGAGTCCCCGGAGAGGACGAGTAGAGAAGCCGGAGAAGGAGAAAAAAATGTTTATATACAGTATTTACATGGTAGCGTGGTACAACATGAAAAGAGAATCACCCACGAGCGCCTCTGCGCTAGCGTTTTTATACATCGTCCGCCTTCCCAAGATCCCTTGCAAAGATAATTTATGCGCAGGATACTCCAATGAGATCGTCGTCTTCCTCTCCGGCCCCGAAGAGGGAAAGCCAAACACCGCCTCCCTCTGAACCTAGGAAAGGGGGCAAGGCATGCCCAGTTCGCTGTTTGGTGAGGGAGAACCCACGCGCCAGCGTGGCACCACAGTGAGATGACGTGGAATCCCATGCGCAAAGTCGCTCCCTGATGCAGCCAGGTTGACTCAAGCAAGGCAGAATACCCCGTACAGCTGCTGGGTCGACGCTGCTTCGGAGTGTTGCTCTCGGCGGCTGACAAAAACTTGGCCAACGACTTTTGTGTCAAGAGGAGCCGGCGACGTGGTTTTTCCCGATTGTCCGCGTCCGTCGCCGTCCCGGTGCAGGGTTGACTCATCAACAGCTGCCAGGTGCCAGCAGGCCGCGAAGACCACGTGGAACTTGGGCGAGGCACAACAGCACCCCCGCCGCCAGATGATACATCGGGAGGTCGAGTTGTTCCATGCAGCTCGGCCGGGTCGATGTCGGCGACGTTCCGGCAAGGCTCTTGCTTCTCGAAGGGCCTGGTCAAACTGGAATGCTCCAAGAGCTGGCCTCTGCGCCCCGCTTCGGTGAAAAGTGGGTGACAAGCTCCAAGAAACGACCTTTGTCAGCCACACACAATGCGACAAGCACCGCGTGCACGCCACTCTCATCGCCAGGCCTCAGATTTTACAAAGCAAACATCTTATCTTAATAACTTAAGCTCAAGGAAACAATGTGCATACCAATCGGGACAAGTGTCCAGTAACTCTTTCATACGTAATTCCATTTGGAATCGAGATAACATTATAATCAAGCTAAACAAGCAAACTGTAGAGCTCGGGACAACGAGGGAGTCAGTAAAAAATTTCTCTATGCCCTCACTGTAACACATTGAAAGAAAAAAAAAAAAAGAGTACACATAAACTAGGTAAAGGTAAACAAAAAAAATCAAACAAACCTTCCGCGTCTTTTGACGAGTCACAACGCTCGACTTAGGGCGTCTGCATTTGTATGAAGGCCACCTCTCTTGTAGCGCACCTCGAAATTGTGCTGCTGCAGTGCTATGCTCCATCTGAGCAAACGACCATTCTTAGGTGACATTTGGTGTAACCAGGTTAGTGGAGAGTGATCAGTTTCTATAATAAACTTAGAGCCAGCAACATAGCAGCCTAGTTTTCGTACGGCCCAAACAATGCAAGCACATTCTTTTTCCGAAGTGCTATAAGCCTCTTCCCTGCTGCTCAATTTGCGACTCAAATACAAAACCGGCCGCTCCTCTCCACTCTGGTCCGTCTGACATAGCACTGCTCCTAAACCGCGTTCGCTTGCATCACACTGAATAGTGAAAGGTTTTGCAAAATCCGGTGCCCTCAAGACGGGTTTCTCACTCAATGCGTGCTTCAGCTTCTGAAAAGCGTCTTCCTTTTTAGAGTCCCATTGAATGTTCACAGGTTCGGTCTTGCGTAAACTATCTGTCAAAGGGCTGGCAATCTCGGAGTAATTCGGGACGTAATGCTGATAGTAACCTGTGAGGCCGAGGAATGCTCTCATCTCGGTCTTAGTGCTGGGACGACGATAACCGACCACCGCGGCTACCTTGAGTTCGGACGGACGACGACGCCCATTTCCTACAATGTGCCCTAAATAGCTTACTTCAGCACAGCCCAAATGACATTTCTCTCTCTTTACCGTAAGACCTGCATTTTTGATCCGTTCCAAAACCATCCGAAGGTGTTCAACATGGTCTTCCCATTTGTCCGAAAATATCGCCACATCGTCTAGGTAAGGCAGTGCAAATTTCTCGAGCCCGTGGAGAACCTTATCCATCAGGCGGCTGAAACAATACGGCGCGTTCTTGAGCCCAAAGCTCATCATCAAAGGACGAAAAGTGCCCAGGGGTGAGATAAAAGCAGCGTATCGACTCGCGCGCTCTGTCAAAGGGACCTGCCAATACCCCCTAACAAGGTCTAGCGTAGAAATGTATTTCGCCTTAGACACTGTCTCTATCCTCTCTTCAATGTTAGGAATAGGGTAAGTCTGGTCGATTGTTACAGAGTTCAGGCGGCGATAGTCCACGCATGGCCTTGGATCACGGCCCGGAATCTCAACCAAATCAAAGGCGAGGTGAAATCACTGTCTGCTTCGATGATAACACCTAGGTCGATCATGCGGCGAATTTCGGCCTCTAGTATCTCTCTCTGTCTAGGTGACACCCGATACGGCTTACAGCTGATCGGCTTGTTAACCGTCAGCTCAATGTCGTGCTTAATCACATCCGTTTTGCCTGGCTTCTCGGAGAAAACGGTAGCGAATTCCTGTACTAAAAGCTCTAAATCTTCCTCTTGAGCCTTACTTAGGGTGTTCCCTGTGTCTACCCTATCTGACAATGTGCTGCTGACCGTGCCATCGGAAAGACAAAGGATTTCCGCGCCCTCGTCCTCAGGAACATTGAGTGCAAGGTTTACTACTGCTTTTCGTCGCATGTAGGGTTTCATTAGGTTACTGTGATACACTTTGGGGCATTTCCGGCCCCACTTTACCTCGTAGTTGGTGTCTGAAAGCACTGACATCACTGTCGCTGGTCCCTCCCATTGTACGTCCAGCTTGTTTTTTCTTGAAGGGCACAACAGCATCACCTCATCGCCCACTCTAAAGACTCGCTTTCGAGCTGACTTATCGTAACGGGCCTTGGAAAGCGCCTGTGCTGCGCGCATGTTGCTCTCCACCACTTCGCGTGTAGTCCCCAGTCGCCCCAATAAATCCAGTACATAGGAAACCACATTAGGGTCCTCCCCATATCCAGTCCATGACTCTCGTATCAAGTGCAGCGGACCTCTCAAGTTCCTGCCGTAGACAAGTTCAGCCGGACTAAAACCCGTACTCTCGTGTGGGGCCGACCTCAGAGAAAACATCGCAGCTGGTATACACCCCTCCCAGTCACTTTTATGCTCAAAGCACAAAGCTCGCAAAACGCGTTTCATGACCGAGTGCATGCGTTCCACAGGGTTCGACTGTGGATGGTGAATAGAGCTATGCGCGATTTTTATCCCGCAGCGTTCTAGGAATGTAGTCGTAAGGCAGCTTGTGAACACACTTCCGTTGTCACACTGTATCTCCGAGGGAAAACCCACCCGAGAAAAAATAGACAACAATGCGTCCACCACGCATACTGAACTCAACTCTTTCAGTGCGATTGCCTCCGGGAACTTGGTGGCAACGCACAGCGCGGTCAGGACGTACCGATATCCTGATTTAGATGGAGGCAGAGGCCCCACGATGTCAATCACGAGCCGACGGAAGGGTTCTGTGATTATTGGCACTAGTTTCATTGGTGCCTTCCATTTGTCTGTTGATTTTCCTATCCGCTGACAAGTGTCGCATTCACGGACAAACATCTCTACATCCTTCCAGCACCCGGGCCAGTAGAACTCCTGAGCCAGCTTAGCTTTCGTTTTCTTTATACCTAAGTGGCCCGCCCAGGCGTTGCTGTGGGCCAGGTCGAGAATGTTCCGCCGGTATTTTAGTGGAACTACCACTTGGTTGTAGACCCGCCCTTTAGCGTTCTCATACCTGCGATGCAACACCTCGTTTTGGGTGTAGAACGAAACGTTCTTTCTAGAGTTACCTTCCTTATGTATGGCATCTAGCAGCATAGAGAGTGCGAGATCCGCCTTTTGATCGACCACTAGCGTTGCACGGTCGGTTCTGGCTAGCTGACACCAACTGGTGGACGCGGGTGTTAACACCGAGCCTGTCACCAAGTCCTCGTTTTCGGGCGTTAGAGATATTTCCTCGCTGTTGCCGACCATAGCCCCAGTTTCCGTCTCGACAACTCGCATGGCAGACTCATTTTC